AGCAATCAACCAGGATAATAGATGTAGTCGAGTCAGAGGGAGAAGGATGATGGAGGATCTTGACTGGGACCCAGCTGCTTGGAGGAGAGGCAACAATGGTTTTTCTCATATGATGTTAAGGAGTCTTGTAACAGACTCCACATGAGGGTGAAAGGGATGAAATCCCTGGAGAAAGTGGATTGACGAATGCATGGAAGCGGAACATGTCATAGACAACATGGTAACTTTCTGGAAGCTCCCAATTTAGGAGAAGGTGAAGATCACCTCATGGCTGGTGGCCAATAATAGCCTTCCAGTAGAACACCGTTTTCAGGAGGAAACCAGCCAGTGCTGCTTGACACGTTATGGGAGTGTGACTTAGTGAAGGAGGTATGGAGATAGATCCTTAAAGTGTTCAAGGACTTACAGCCAATATGGAGGTATGCAGTGGAAATGTTCTTCATTGGTTTGAAGAGTCAAGGGGCTCAGCAACAGGATTGGCTTGGTGAAGAGTGCGGTGTCGGGGACAACATGGATGGGGTATCCACATACAATGGGATCTGGTGGGAGCGGAGCAGGGGGTTTTAGGCCATGACCGTTGGGCAATATGGAGGGCCACAGGAGTTGAAGAGATCTGGGAAGCACGGAACAGTCTCTGCTTTGATGGTTAGCAAGCACGAGTGTCGGCTGTAGTAACAAACTGGTGGGCAGCACTGAAGGATAGAAAGACACCAGTAGGGATGAACCACTGGAGAAGCATATGGCTTGTTTTGGGGTGGACTCTAGGGGGGAGATACACTGGAGGTGGAGACCCCCAGGGGACAAAATGCCCCCTAATTGCTCTAATGATAATCCCTTGTCCTGGTTGCATGGAAATGTACAGTTACATTTATCTACCCAGGATCCCAAGTCTGGAATTAAGAGTTGTCATGACTCCTTATCAAGATCAATATCTCATTCCTCCACCATCCCCAAAAGAATTGATATTAAACAAGGTTAGGCTTTCCTAAAGTCTATAAAATATTCTTAAAATATTTCTATAGCCCGCAACATTGATAAATTTAGAAATTCAGCATATTTCTAGGACTAATAATAATATTTTTATTCTCTACACGGATATTCGAAATAGAATCTCTGAAAGTGAAAATACAACTTTCACCTTCATACCATTTTGGTTCATTCCTACAAGACGAAAACTACTACAGCACTTTAGATTCTCAGTCCAAAAAACGATTTCATAGCTAGACTTATCAAACAGATCCATTTTCTCCCCCTATGGACCAATACCGAGCCAGCTCGTCACCACCACGATCAAAACTCCCCTCCCCAAGCAAAACAAGACCGTGATTGTCGCCACGCATGGAACTGACACCCATCCCAGAACAAATCCGAAGGCCCCAAGTTAAATGGCCCTGGAGTGAAGCTCTTGGCGCGGAAAAATATCGGGAGTGTGTGTGCAATGTAGAGGCCGATAGATACCATAGCTTGAAAGGCAACGCTGCTTCCCAAGTACTGGAGAAATACCAAAAACCACGGTGGTGAGTCAAGCAACGAGAAATAATAGAGGATGAGTAGCAACTCAAAAGGTATAAAGTTCTTCCATGTTTGGATCTCTTTTTTCCAATCATTTTCAAGGATGGCCTATGCTCTCAAGGGATGCTTCTGGCACACTCGCGGTGTGTGCGTTTTGCATGGCTCTTCCGGTAAGTATCCCACAGAAAAAAAATGGGCACGGCAGGCAAACTATGCTTCCGGTTCCAGTGCCGTATTTATCCTTGAAAATGGTGTAAAAGAGTTGGGCTACGGCATAACCTTTGGCGTCGTTGTTTGGATCAAGCAAGAACCCGATGTCGCTGATCGCCAAAGTGATTCCGAGAATGTAACCATCCAACGATGACGGATATAACAACGGCACTTATAATTCCAAATGCACCGTTTTTGTCTGCTGATCTGGTCTCCTCGGACTGCATGAGACGATGGTGAGGACAAATACAAACCAGAAAGCCACCATATGAGCAGAGGCATCGTATCCAATAAGTGTGTATTGGCTCATCAAAATTCCAAGAAGAAAAATATACGGATAGCTGTGAATACCTTCGTTGTTCACTGTGTTGAAATACTTGAAAACAGCCAATCAAGTTCCACAAAGGTACCGAAAAAAGAGAGGATATGAATTGGCAGGCTATTTACTAGCCCGTGAAGAAACAAAAGGTCTGCATGGAATCCTATTACGCGGCATAATAGCCACGACCATTTGCACCACCAGTGCTCAGTAGTACCATCACTTGAAGGAGAGTGGCTTGAGAAAGGTCTATGCTTGTCGTCACAGGCCACTGAATTTGAAACACTAAAAGAGAAGAAAAGAGCGAGAGCTAGAAAGACACACCTGACCAACAATGTAAAGAATGAATGAGAGAGTAAACGAAAGAGCTTACCAGCCAGTGATCCATGCTTGCAAACGGACCCCAGTTCTCGCCAGCTAGATTGAAGCTCCAGAATTAGAGTCCTAAGAGTACCACCTATTAGCGGGATGGACTCAGGCAGAGCAAATGACTCCAGCGGTGGGATGGGATTCGCGTGCGTCGGTCTGATCGTAGCCCCACGGACCCAGCACGAGAAAGAGACTCTTTTCGGCTCCTTCTAAGATAGTTTTCTTAGTCCGTCGACAATTTTATATGCAGCTACGAAAGTAGGATCAACAGTAGGTCACTGATTCTCACGTCACCTTGCATGAGCTGTTACAATTTGATTCCTCGGTGAGAAAGAAAAATCTGCCTGTAGCCTCAATCACATGATACTAATCAGTCCCACCTTCTTCACGTGTACGCCTCAAGCTGCGTATAAATCTGCAACCCCTTGCAGTCGAGGAAAACATTAGCTTACAACTTGCTTTCCTGCTTTTGTATACTCTTGCATCTTGCTCTTCTAGTATGGCGCTTCTCGGAGGCATAGCTGGAGCCTTGTTCCAGGATAAAGGCTCGTCTAAGATCGTCTATAAAGGCGCTGTCCTCGTCCGGAAAACTAATGTCCTCGATGTCACCAACGTTGGAGCTTCGGTGGTGGACAATACCGCAGATCTCCTTGGTCTTGGAGTGACACTGCAATTGATCAGTAAGTATCTGTTTGTCGCTGCCAAGAACATCCTCACCTTTGAGTATTGTACAGGTGCCAAGACAGGAAAGAAGAGCAATCCCGCAAACCTTGAGAAGTGGTTGTTTTCTGGAGGATTATTTGCTACGGACGATGTCAAGTACTCTGTGAAGTTTTCAGTAGATCCGGATTTCGGACTGCCTGGAGCATTTATCATCGCAAATAGTCATCCAAGTGAATTTTACCTTGTCTCTTTGACTGTCGAGATGCCTGGAGGGGGGAAGATCGTTGAGTTTCCTTGCTATTCCTGGGTTTACAATTCGTCCCTCTACAGAACAGAGCGTCTGTTCTTCAGTAACCAGGTAGGCTCTGCGTGGTAAAGATCTCTGACTGTTGTATCCTTACGAATTCTTTCAGCTCTACTTGCCAAACGAGACACCGACGGGCCTGACAAATGCTCGGGAGAGTGACTTGAAAGCCCTGAAAGGCGATGGAACGGGAATTAGACAAAACTGGGATCGGATTTACGACTATGATGCTTATAACGATCTGGGAAATCCACTCCTCAACCTGCAAAGACCAACTTTGGGCGGATCGACTGATCTTCCTTATCCCCGCAGGTGTCGCACTGGTCGAATTAACATCAACGGAGGTCTGAATAAGAAGAAAAAAAAAGAATACTGATTAGTGATTTTCCTGTGCAACAGTTGAAACTCTCACCTTGACCCCGTTAAACAAATTCTACATACCAAGCGACGAAAGATTTGGCGCCGTGAAGAACAGTGACTTCCTGGCCGACGGTCTCAAGGCACTGAGTCACAGCGTTCTTCCAGCTCTGGAAAGCGTCATCACGTTTGACCAGACGTTTGATTCGTTCAAGGAGATAAAGGACCTGTATGACCAAGGATTTGACATATCCGAGCTTGTCACCTCACCAGTAAGGGGGATGCAAACGCCACTCGAGTTCTTCAACGAGTTCACTGCAGACACCGGCAACACCAGCTACATGAAGTACCCACTTCCGCAAATCTTAAAAGGTAATGCTCTTCAAATGCAAACTCGATAAACATGCATCTAACATCAGGCAACTACAGTGAATGAGAAGGGATGGATGACGGACGAAGAATTTGCAAGACAAATGCTGTGTGGAGTGAATCCTATGACGATTCAATGTCTGAAGGTAAGTTCATGATACTCACAGCCATTAGCCAACTCTTGAGTTCAGGAATTTCCACCGACGAGCACTCTGGATCCTGAAAAATACGGACCATCAAAGTCCGCTATTACCGAGGAACATATCGGCAGTCAGCTAGAAGGCTCAACCGTACAACAGGTTCGTTTTTCTGAAGTACGGGTTCTAAGTTGACTCCCTAACCACGCAAATGGAAATGCAGGCAGTGAGTGACAAGAAACTGTTTATTCTCAGCTATCACGATGAGTTCATGCCTTACCTTGACGCGATCAACACCCAGAGATCATCTTACGCTTACGCATCCCGAGTTCTCCTGTTTTTGAAGTCGAATGGAACTCTCCGGCCCGTAGCCATCGAGCTCAGCACACCGTCTTCTCAGAGAGTCTTCGTCCCACCGGCAGCTGGAAAAACCGATTGGCTCTGGGAGCTCGCGAAAGCACACGCCGCCACGAACGATTCTGGATATCACCAGCTTGTCAGTCACTGGTAAGCCAAACATTTAGAGAAAGAAAACAAAAAAACAACCCTCTCGTATCTGTTGTGAAGGTTAAGGACACATGCTTGCATCGAGCCATTCATTATCGCGACTAACAGGCAGCTGAGCAAGCTTCACCCTCTAAACCCGTTCCTGCAGCCTCACTTCAAGTACACCATGTCAATCAACTCGCAAGCGCGGCAAAGCCTCATCAATGCAGCTGGAATCATCGAGCTAACTTTCACTCCAGGAAAATACTGCATGGAGATGAGCGCCGTGGTTTACAAAGGCTGGAGATTCGACGAACAAGGCCTACCAGCAGATCTCATCAAAAGGTAACACAAACAAAACAAAACAAATTCTGGCACTGACACCACTACTCGGTTCCAGAGGGATGGCGGTCCCAGATTCCACAGCAAAGCACGGACTCAAGCTTGCAATCGAGGACTATCCATATGCCGCAGATGGTCTTGAAATCTGGGACGCTCTGGAAAAATGGACGTCCAGTTATCTCGACGCTTGCTACAACGACGACGAAGCAGTAGCAAACGATACAGAGCTCCAGGCCTGGTGGAACGAAGTAATCAAGAAAGGCCATGCAGACAAGAAGGACGAGCCATGGTGGATCAAGCTGAACAGCAAGAAAAACCTGGCTCTAGCGCTCACCACTATAATCTGGGTAGCGTCGGCCCATCATGCAGCCGTGAACTTTGGCCAGTATGCATACGCTGGCTACATGCCCAACCACCCCACCGCCACTCACAAGCCAATCCCGGCCGAAAACTCGAACGAACACAAGAAGCTGCTGTCAAACCCCGAGGAATTCTTCCTCGAGACGGTCTCGAGGAAGCTGGAAGCGATCCTCGTCATGCTCACGCTCGAGATCCTCTCCTCTCACGCGTCGGACGAGGAGTACCTGGGGCAGCGCCATATCTCGAACTGGACGGATAATCCCAAGGCCGTCGCCGCCTTCGAGAATTTCACCGCCGCGATGAAGAATGTGGAGGGAATCGTGGCGCGCCGCAACGCCGATCCATCACTCAAGAACAGATTGGGGCCCGTGAGCATCCCCTACACGCTGCTCTCCCCGGCATCGGAGAAAGGGATCACCGGCAAGGGCGTGCCCAACAGCATTTCCATCTGAGATATAAACCCTAAGGATATATACAATATATATAATACAAGTATATATATATTTATATATATAAAAACGAAGGGCCCAGACCCCCGCAGCCGTCGGATGGGGCAGCCTCGGGAGCGTTCTTGGGAAGGGGAGGCCACCCCAGGCCCGGGCCAGTAGCCTTGCAGGAATATTGGCTCAATGTTGTGGTTCAATGCATTATATACAATATATACCATACAAGGATATATATAATATCTATATATAAGAACAAAGGGCCCAAACCCCTGCAGCCATCTGACATAGGCAAGGCTGGAGTGCACTAGCAATGAAGAGCTATGCTATGTTTGAATTCTGGAGCTGACCGGTGCCATGGCAGTGGGTGTGGGTGATGCAAAGTATGCAAGTGACCTGAAGGTGTGTGCACAGCAAAGGCATCAAGGGAGTTCTTCAAGCTGCCAAAGGAGGAGAAGCTGAAGTACTTCAAGCTGCTAAAGGAAAAGAAGCTGAAGGACACTGCCAAGGAGTATGGCTTCAAGAGTGATGGCTATGGAAGTAAGATCTCCAATGCCACCAATGTTGTCCAGCTATGGAGGGACGTGCATGTCTCCAAAGAGTAACTTGGCTGACTGGCCCATGCAGCCATTGCAATACAGGTAAGTCATCTTCCCTGTTCTCCCATTTCTTCGTCTTTGAAACCCCGTGAGGACTTCCCTGTTCTTACAGTTCAATTGCGCATGTCAGCACTGATGGATTGAGCTAGGCAGATGAATCGATTCCTGATGTAAGATTTCCCTGTTCTTGACGCAGTGAAAGAGTTGGTGTGGATTTGCAGAGTCATTGTGTATGAGGTGGTATATGGAGATTCTGATTTCTCAATCTTCCTTGGGCAGCATGCACATGTGGCCAGGAAGGGAAGAGGGCGTGGTTACAACTGTTACACCATGCACTCCTAGGGTTCTCTACCCATGGCTGCATGAGCAACACCACAGGCAGGCTGGCGAGGGAGAGTGCCAGTGATGCAATCCTACTTTTGTGGCTTGGGCCCTCTCTGAATTGCACTTCAATTGTGCATGTTAGCACTGATTGAGCGAGGCAGATGAATTGATTTCTGGTGTAAGATTTCCCTTCTTGATGCAGTGAAAGAGTTGGTGTGGGTTTGCAGATTCACTAAAGAGGTAAATTCTGATTTCTCAGTTTTCCTTGTGTCCCAGTCATAGTCACTAGGGAACTCACTTGTGTCTGCTTGGAGATGAGGCCGAGTCACTTCTTTCAGATATGCTTAAGGAAATAACCTTTTCACAGATGTCTCGTAAGAAATTCTTTCTGTTTCTTTCTGTAACCCAAATTATTTTGAAGGCCTAATGGCATGTGCACTAACAAAATGGTGCTGGGTGAATTGAAGGTATTAGACTTTTCTTTTGCAAATTTGCTGTAATTACAGTGCCAGATCAAAGTGTGAGGACATGTGTTAAAACCAGTCACAGAAGTAAAGTTGCTATGCACACATATTTACGGTGAAATGTTTCCACCCTGTAGCTTCTCTCTGCCACCACCTTGCCTGCGAGATGGACAAGCAAGTTTGTGAATCCATACTGGCTCTCTAGCTTATGTGCATAACATGGCAATTACCACTCAATCACATCCACCTTTGCAACGTGGCTACAAGTGAGTGATCCCTTTCTTTCTTAACAATTCCTTTCTTAAGCTAACTCAATTTCTATTGCCACAGCTTTCACTACCAATCAAGAGGCTTGAATCATTTCAAGCTCCTAGTGATAGATTGCACGGAATTACCTTTTTACCACTCCTCCTCTGCCTTTGCAGCCATGAACTATGATAGGTTACTTTAGTTTCAAGACTTTTTTTTTGCAAAGTTCTTTCTTCTAGATTTTGAAAGCTATCGACACTTTAGCAGTTTAATAGTTAATCAAGGAGCAAATATAGCTAAGCTCAGCAAATCTTTTGAAATGGTATGAAATTTGCCAACAACCCAGCATTTGCTGGCCCAGAGCCCTGCAGCCGTCCAATCCCAGGCCCAGGGCAGCCTTGGAAGCCATGGTTCTCCAGAAGGGGAAGCTACCCTAGGCCTAGGCCAAGGCCATGGTTTGCAAGAATATCAGCTCAATGTTGTGGTGGCCAATGGGCGGTAGGCACATGTGGCCATGAAGGGAAGAGGGCATGCCAATCTCTTTGTCTCCAGGGCGTTTCTCATGGGATCTTCCAGGGCATTCTCTCCAAGCATGCAGTGGGTGTGCAGCAAGCTCACATTCATGGTGCATGGTGATCCATGCAATATCCACTTATGCATATGACCACTTTGAACACCCATGCCAATCCCTTGAACAAATCCCTGAGCACCATCAATATCTTAGATAACAATGGAAGATTGTTGGTTCTGAGGTCCCTAAGTTAGTTTTTTCCTATTTTACTTACATCTTTCTTGAAGCTGTTCCAAATATGTATCTCACAATCTCGAGAAAAGTAAAAACTCTTTCTTTATTTCTCACGTAACTCTTCCACATTGCATCAGCAGGCTTGAAAGTTGTGCATCATCCTGGTCCATTCAAGTTCTTGAGGCTTGGAGTTCCAGGTAAAGCAAACTAGGTAGTTCTGCCTTGGTCTTGCTAGGTTGATGGAATTCCAATTCTGTTTGGGAAAACTCCTCCACTCGGCAAAGGGATTTATTCTTTGTTAGGCTTTCTCTCTTTGGATCCATCCTTCCATGATAAAAATTGTTATGTTATTCTTATTGTGCTTTAGTGTGTTTGGTATTGTTTAGCAGCAAGATAGCAAACAAGATTGCAACAATCAGGGTCTCTTCTCTTTGCAGCTCTAGCAACTAGAATTACTGATTAATATTTGTGATTTTTTGGGTGAGAAAAAATAGCATTAATGTGATTTAAATATTTTCAAGAACTTTGCCAATTGGGCAATATCAACATTTTTAGATTTTTCTAGGTCTGAATACCAAGAGATTATCATCAGGATTCATGTAAATTCTTGCTCTAAGAATGTGCTATTGCTAGTGAAGATTTTTGCGTGGTTTATGAAGAATAATTTTGGATCTAAACACGCACTTTGACTACTTCAACTTTAAACCAACTTCTTGTAACTGATCCAACACTTTATGAACATCATGAATATGGTTTTTCTCATGTCCCTTCCAAGTGAATTAAAACATCATTAATGAAGTCAGCAATCACTTCTAGCATATTGCAAAGAACCTCGTCCATCATCCACTATAAAATTGCTAGAGCATTGTTCAAATAAAACAATACTACCAAGAACTCATACAAACCAAATAGTGTATGAAAAACAATCTTAAGAATATCTTTTTCAGCCATCAGTACTTGTTGGTACTCAAAAACAAGATTTAACTTGGTGAATCAATAACTTCTCCCTAGATGATCCAAGAGATCAGCAGTATGAGGAAGAGGGTATACATTTGGGATTGTCACTTTGTTTAACGAAAGATAATCGATATAAAAATAAATACTCCCATTAGAATTCGTTATAAAATGAGATTTATACGCCTAAATACTCTGCAATTTCCAAATAACTCCTTTTTCCAACATCTCTTTAACGTTTGCATGTAAAATTTTGATCTCTTTGGATAACTGACGATGAATAAGAACCTTGATTAGACAAGTATCTCCAATTGGAATAGGATGACATGCTGCAATCTTGGCCCCAAATAATAAGTCAAATTCAAAGAGATTGGCATACTTCTTCATGAGTCAGTCAACCGCTACAACACAAAGATTGTCGAAGGGATCGGAAAAGAAAAGAGAGGAACAAAACAGAAACTTAGAAGGAAGTAAGGGGGAGATAAAAGTGATGGAAGCAGAGGTAGAAACAAAGGGACGAAGAGATACAAAAGTGAGAGGAATGGAAAAAATATTAAAAAGTATAAGACAAGGGGGAGAAACCTCAAAGTCACACTTAATATGATTGTGCCACAATTAATCCATACTAAGGATGAAGTCAAAAACTTGATTTAGCACCACCTATAATAAATGCAACTTAAACTCAAGATTGCCTACATGCACAATTAGGTCCGCCTCACCCCATGCACATGCTTGTGTATGGCTGTTGCCATAAAGAATGAAAATTAGCTCTTTTGCATGACAAATATATATATGGCAATATATGGCAACATGCTGAGTAATAGAAGATAAATTCAAGCTTGTATTAACTAATACAGAGAGAATAATAGAAGACTTTTTATTATAAAAACGAGTTTAAAAAGTAAATACTAAATGAACTGGTGCCGAGTGAACCCCTTGATGATACTCTTGAAAGAAAGATGAAGGGATTATTGACTTATTCACGAAAGGTCTTTTTATTACTCATGTGACTTTTCATTTTTTAGATGCATCTTGGCTTCCACTACAGCAACATTAATAGGATGTTGTTGATGCTAGGGTTTCCATCTAGGAAATGGAGGTAGCCAATCTAAAAAACGCTAACAATGCTGATAAGTGTG